GGGTCGGCTGGTGGTCGGTATGCTCAGTGGTCGGGTAGGCAGAACTTTTTTCCCTGCTGCCCCGCGCCGCAGCGGCGGCAGGCGCGGCCTGTGGAGCCCCCTCTGGCGCGGCCAGCGCGCCGACGCTCGGAGGGTGTGTGCGTGCGTCTGTTGGTCGCCGAGCAGAGGGGAGGCCGTGGGAGGGTGGGTGGGTCGCAGAGCGGCAGGAGGGTGATGGATGGGCAAAGGGGGTGGGTCGACAGGAGACGGTGACTACTCGGTCTCGCTACGTTTTCCCCGGGCGTGCTGAGCAAGAGTGTGTGTGTGCGCGCGCCCGCGCCTGCCCGCACGTCGATTCCAGGGTGGCAAAGAACAAATATGGCAACTTTCCCCCTAAGTTATTGCAATGTTTGCAGCTTCCCACCTTGGCTGTGTTCTTCCTTTCCCAGGACTACGGCCGGGGAGGGAGATGGTCCAAGAACACTTGGACACGAATGGGGCTGGGGGGCGAGGGGTGGGCGGGGCAAAAGAGGCCATGGGAAGAGGGGCGCTGACCTGGGAGGTAGGAGGGCACCCCCTTGAAGTCTGGATTTGGGGGTGGCGCAGGGGGCCTGGAGGGAGAAAAGGAAGAGGGAAGGGCGGTGAACGTAGGAAAGAGATCTCTCTCCTCCTTCCACCCTAGCCTCCCTTCCCTTACTCCCCTTCCTGCCCTGCAGATGCTGGAATCTCCTGTCTTTACGGGAGTCAGCGGGCTGTGACGGGTTCGAGCCTTGTTGTTCCTCCAACATTCTGCAGAATGGGTAGGGAGTGGGGGGAGGGGCTGCAGCAATGAAAGGGCACCTGAGGCGAGTGGGCTATTGGACACCCGATATCTAGACAGGTTTGGGGGAGGGTGGGGAGGGAGAATATTCACCCTTCCTATTGAGCACTCAGAACTTTGGAGGGTGGGATTGAGATAGTCTCATATTTCTAGAAACAGGCTGACTAGCGTGGACTTTAGGTTTATTTTATGTTCATCTTCTTCTGTCTGAATCTTCTGGCTTGGGTCCCGTTGGGAGAGGTCGCTCTCTTGAACCCCGCTTGCCCGGTATCTTGCGCCCTTCCCCTTACCTGGGCTGCAATAGGGGTCACGGCCAGGTTTTTTTTTTTTTTTGCAACAATAATATTATAACGTGTTCCAGTCTGGGTTTTGTTGAATAATTAGAAATGGAAATATTTTTTTTTCTCCCTCCCCGTTCTGGAAAAAGGAAAAGAAAAAAAAAAAAGAAAATGTGAGCTCTCTTCTGATTGGTGGGTGACGATTTTAGTCCGTACCAATGAGCTGGCAGCTTCGTCTGTATTTATTTAGTGCTCTGGGGGAGTTTTTCTCTTTACGCAGCGCCTGTAGTCACGGCTGGAACCTCGGCTGGGGAACTAGGAAGGGCAGGAGGGGGTTTCGGGGGGAATCCGAACTGTACCTGTTTAGAGATCCGCGACCTTGCAGCTGGGCTGGTGGAGCCCTGATAAGGGAATGGGGGTGATAGAACAGATAGGCGGGGAAGCTCGGGGAGCTAGAGCGACGGGAGAGGGGTGGAGGCTGGGCGGCGGGATTCCTGATCCCCCCCTCGGCGCTCCTCTTCTCGCCCTCTACATACCTCGCTCGAGGCTGTGAGAGCTGAGTTGGGGGATCGCTGACGGTGTGGAGAAATGCAGGGCTGGGTCGGGGGCGCGGAGAGGGGCAGCAGAGGGCGGGCAGCGCGCAGGGTGGGAAGGCTGAGCCGCGCTGGAGCGCGCTGGGGAGACCCAGCCGCCTCGGCTCCGGGGTTCGGAGACATCCTGGGCTGAAGACGGCGGCGGCGGCGGCGGCGGCGGACGGAAGAAGCCGGAAGACTCTGCCCTTCGCGAATCTTTTTGCGGTCTGGGCTTGCTGTACATAACTCAATAGCCGGAAGCCCTTACCCCAAAAAGCATTCGCGGAGGGCGCACTCGTCGAGAAGACGGCAAGCCATCGCCGAAGCCCACACAGCTCTCCGAAGCCACTCAGTCCGAGCCTGCCCTAGCCCTGTCCCCGTTTTCCACGGAAAAATTAATCCTTTCCCTTCTGTCCTTCCAGCGCTCTCGCCGACGCTTTGGTCACCCGCCTGTCCTTCGCGCACGTCCCCCGCCCCCAACTTTTTAATCGACTTTGTATCACAGGGGGAATCGGAGCAGGCAGTGTGCGTGTGTGTTTTCGGAGAAATGGGAAGAAGCTAAAATACAATAAAAGTTTACAGAAGTTGTGTCTTCCCCCCTGCCCCCTGTCCACACCCCGAATAACCCCATCCACCCACTGCAAAAATAAATAAATAAATAAATAAATAAAATTTAAAAAAAAAAAGAAAGAAAGAAAAGAAAAAGAAAAAAAGATAAGGATCTGGTCTTAGGACCAAGTCAGTACCTGGAATATGAATCAGCTGAGGACATGTCCTGGCCGTGTTGGACCCCAGTGATCCAGCCCTGTGCTGTGGGGGTGGGGAGGCCCTTGCGGGAGGAGCAGGAGGCCCTCGGCCCCTCTGTCCTAGCGCCGGGGACCTGGAGGTGAGGAGAGCCGCGGCGAGTTAGGTGGCTCCGAAAAGGAAAATCCAGGCACCGCCCGATCCCCGGAGTCCCTTCTTTCCCCCCCCTGCCCCTGCTTCCAGCCTAAATTAGGGCATTTTGCAGCCTCGGGTCCCTCCCCATCTAGTCTTTTTCAAAACTAAGTAGCACCGAAGGGGGCAAAACAGTAAAAAAACTGGGGGGAAACCCCAGCAGAAAGGAGATTGTAGAGATGCGGCTGCACTGGACCCATCAGCTGGGCCGTCTGGCCTCTCCAGGCACCCCGTCCTGGGGAGGAAGGCCAGCCTGCAGGCTCGGGCACCGTCTGCGGGCCCCCTCCTCCTCTGCACTCCCTGCAGTCGTGACCACTCTGGTTACAAGTGGCACAGATCAGGCCTTCGCCATGCTCTGTGCCCTGTGCCCTTCGCCGGCTAGAAACACTGGGGACGTCCTTAGGGACTGGACCAGAAGGACACACAGACACACAAGGGCGCCCAGAGGGATGTACAAGGGTAGAGAATGCGTCTAGGGATGTGAGAGTCCAAGACCCGAGGGCTGCGAAGCTACTCGTTTTCGGGGAGGGCCTGAATTCCCCCGCACCCCAGCCACCGTCCTTGCAGCAAACTCAGTGCCCACCGTCATTCCCCACTCGGGTAGCTGAGCACCCAGACTCTACCCTCCCCCGAGCCAGGAAAGGGCTACGGAGTCCGGCAGTGCTGGACAGAGTCAGTCTTTGCAGCTCAGCCTGCGAGAAGGCACAGAAGACGAGGACTCCAAGCTCTAGGGCTAACTCAGAGCCCTTCTCCCCAGATAAAGGAGATTTCCCCTCCCCGATTGCGTGTTCTGAGAGAGTAAAAGGGTCTCTACGACCTGCAAAAGGAGACGGAGCAAAAGCAAAAGCCCCGGGGGCGTTCCTCCCTGCCTCTCACCTGGGGCCGTCTGTGGAGCGATAACTTCGAGGAGGGAGAGGCAGAAGAGCCACGTTAGGTTAAAAATAGCCTCACCCTGTGTCCCTCCAGTTTTGCTTTTGTCTTTTGCTTCTTATACCCCCCTCCTTTCCCCAGCGAGAAAGCCCTCCTCTCTCCAAAAGCCTGAACCTCCACCAGGTTTGGGAGAGAGGTGACCGAAGAGAAGTGAACTTGGGCAGAGGGGCTTGAGCAACCAGGCAGGCAGGCAGGCAGTGGGGGCTCCTGCACCGCGGGTGCCCTCACGTTTCCCACAGAGGCTAGGTTTGGGGCCAGGGCTGCAGAGCCCAGGAGCTCCCGGCCGGCCCAAGCCGGCGTCGTGCGCCCGGAGCGAGTCCTCGCCTCGCCTCGCCAGACAACTGTTGCTGCCTTGGAGGAGCCGCTGCTGCGGCACAGCGGCTGGGGTGGCGGCGACGAGCTGGGGCGGCCCACTTTCCCTCCGGGTCCCAGGGCTTGCCCAGAGGGGTGTCTCATTCCCGGTGAGTGGGATCGGAGGACAGGACCCCCACCACCCCTCCCCCTTCACAATGAGTGAAAATCTGTGGCTTTCTATGTATCTTTCCTTCCCTCCTTAGGGCGGTTGCCTTAGCCTGAGGCCAGTGGGAGCTGATCCACCCCATTCTCCCCACTTGGCCTTTGCTGAGGAAGGTCGGCAAGGGGGGTGGTGGTGGTGTAAATCTTTCTGACCCCTCAAACTGCTAATACATCCCTTTTGGGAAAAAAAAAAAAAAGCTATGTCACGTAACCAGGAGCCTGATGGAAACTTCCAAACATTTGCATCAGATGGCAACCCCTGGAGTCCCTATAGGGAAGGGGTTGGGGGGAGCAGCTGAGACCCTTCCCCACCCCAGTCTGCTTCTCCCTGGGGAGTGGGCAGTGTCTTGGAAGCTGCTGGGACAACGTGGTCCCTGGAGCCCAGTCGACTAGCTTAGCTTTTGCTCGTGGTAGAAAACCAGACTGCCTCCGCAGCTAAGGAAGGGGTGAAGGCACCCCAGAGCCCCCTCTCTGCCACCTGCCCTCTAGTGGCTGGGCCAGGCTGGGGGCTTCTGCATGCTGCCCCCCCAGGCTCACTTTCCCCGGCTCTGCTTCTGCACTGCTCTCCCTCTGGGTACCCCCCTCACCCGCAGTTAGAACCAGGGTCCCTCCCTTCTCCTGGCCTTTTCTTCCCTTCTCGCCTCATTCCAAGGCCTGTGGTTGCTTTGAGTCTCTCTGCCTGAGGCTGGAGTCAAAGGCAGGGGTGGAGTCAAAGGTTGGGGGGGAGCACTTGCTGCAGTCTCAGACCAGGGCCCTCTCCTCTGTCCCAGAGACCTCTCAGACGGGGAGGTTTGGTGCGTACCCCTGGAAAACTCCCCTGCACCAGCGTCCCTGCCTCGGAGCCCTGGGCCCAGAAGTGTCTTTCTGTCCTTTTCTTCCCCTTTAGCATCCCTTCTCCTCGATTTCCTGCAAAACGCCCCGGCCCCCAGAGTACCCAGCAGAGTAACCTTACCCATCTATTTGTCCTTTCAGGTGGTCAAACCTGTCCCCGCACCTGGAGGTCTGCATGTGGGGTGGCCACTGGAGGAGGGGGTCTCAGAGGTCAGAGGAGCTGAAGGGTCTGGACAAATGAGCTCTGGAGTCGCAGGTGAGTGCAGATACCTCAGACCTCAGCCCCTCGGTCTGGACAGCCCCCTCTTGGGGACTGTAGCTGCCAGGGATCCAACACTGGGGACTGTCCTCAGTGACTTAGTCTTTGGGAAGAGAAGGCACCTATCATAGACATCATATAGAAAGACACAGTACCCCTTGAGGCAGGTCCCCTTCCTGTCTTACTCTCTAGCATGACTTGGGCCTTGGTGTCTGGAGGCTTCCGAGCCCCCGGTACTAAGGGGCACAGGCCTTACTCAGTGGGCCTCACAGTTCGCTGTCAACCCCCACTTTGGGGGCTGTTTCAGGCCTCTCAGGGGCCCAGGAGAGGTGCACAGTTGGTCGTTTGCTAAGCTCAGTTTCTCTGAGGAAACTAAAGTATTGAGTTATGTCTCCTGAACTGGAGTTCCGTGTAGGACAGATAGAAGTTTCAGGTCATGGGGTTTGTTTGTTGTTTTGTTTTTTTAAGGATAACACATTGAACTCAAAATACGTTTACTTTTTCTATTAACCGGTGAAATCCTTTGTGACAGAGCTTTTTGTTTAGCTGCCTTTCTGAGCTTCAGTGTCATACTGTGATTCTTATTGGGGAATTCTGTTCAACGCTTGGCAGGGAAGTTTGAACCCCCAGGGCTGTTCGAGTTGTGAGGAAGGGAGAAACCAAGCTACGTGGCTAAGCCTTGGCGATTATGTGAGCAAAACACGGGAAGCTGTTAGCAGTCTTAGAGGAGGACTGGAGGCTCGTGCGCAACCAAAGCACGTTACGTGGCAGCCCTTCAGAGCATGACAAAGCAGGCCTGCTTGCTCTGCTCACTCCCTGACCGCCACGTAGGTTTTGTGAAATGTTTACATAGTGAGAGTGGAAGTCAAATAATAAATTGACCGGGATCCTCTATAATCCCACCATGGAACGTGAAGGCAAGGTCTTCAGATCATTGGCTGAACCTATCTTTTTTTTTCATTCCCCTTTTGAATGTAAGAATCCGTGTTAGAGCAATAGGGTTGCTGTTCATTCTAAGAGATTAACATCTCACCCTTTCCCCCCTTTATTTGATATTTTAATGGCAAGAGAAATTTCAGAAAATAATATGGGGGGGGTGTTTATTTTGGCTGAAGTGTAACCTCTTCTGGTCATGGTTGGAAAAAATCTGTCACTGGGCTGGATCTCAAACCTAGATATAATATGTGGCAGGCAAAAGCTGAACAGAGCTAGGCAGGATATATACACCGAAACCTTTGTTTTATAAATAAAAAAAAACAGAGGTTCAGAGAGGCTAAGTGCGTCATCGAGGTCACACAGCTGGGCTTGAACCCAGAATCCAGTCCACTCTGGATTCTTTCTTTTTCACTAAATATTTTATACCACTACCAAACAGTACAGAGAACCCATAAACACAACCCAGGGCATCTGAACAGATTCCCTTCCAAAACGACCTGCGTTTACGATGCCAGGGTTTGAAGAAGAGTTGACAGAAAGTTTCTTCTGTGAGCAAGTAGCATCCTGGGGGTACCGTTGGGTGAAGAACAGCCCCTGCCCCTGCCTCTGACACAGCTTAGCCCTCAGAGCCTTCACGTTGGCTTCAGTGTGCCGAGGGAGTCATCAGCACAAGAAATTTGCTGTGTCACAGAATCTGGTCTCTTTCAAAACCTCTCCCAGGAGCAGCTCCGGGAAGCCTAGGCCCCTCTCCCTATTTCTGTTCGCTGGGCGGCAGTAAGAGCCTCCTCCTTCTGGCCTGCTGGGTTTGATTGTGAACTGTTAGGACAGCAGGAAAAGGTCTGCTTTGACCTCTTCCAGGATTTCCTAATTACTTTGCAAGCAAGGAAGGCCCTCAGAAAGAGCTTTCAAACCACTAGGGGAGTCCGTGTGATCCCTGTCCTGCGGATAGCTTTTAGAATGCTGCAGGTCACCTGCTCGTAGGACAGCTGCTTGGCCTGATCAGTGTTAAGCTTAAGATGTCCTCACCTGTAAAATGGGGACAATAGTAGCAACCATAGGTTCTGGTGAGGATTAAATGAGATTAGGCTTAAAAAGTCTTTTTTTTATCTTGTCAGTGCTCAATGAATGTTAGTTGGCATTGTTATTACTATTATTATAGGTTTTTTTCCTGTTTGACACATATAGCAATGTCATACGAGGCTCAGATCGTACAATCGGCAGTCATAGGACCAGAGCTGGTCCCCGAGTAACAGATAAAAAAAAAGATCATCTTTTCTGGAAGCATCTGTCCATTTGCACCATAGCCTGATCTAACTTCACTGTTTCAGCTTTACGTATTTCCATCAATAACAGCTATTTCGTTGTGTATTAATCATGTCCTCAGTATGTAGGCATGGTAGCCATTCTGTGTGTGCTATTGCAAACAAATGATTCTGGTGGCCTTTTTCATAGACTTGCCCGCTGTTTGCCCCTCCCCCCACCTCCTCTTTGGGACATGTACTAGCCGGCAGCTTCTGACTAGGACATAAGGTTCGTTTCTCTGGGTAGAAAGAAATGGATTGGGAGGAAGAAAATGAAATGGAGTGAAAGATATGATTAGAGCAAAAAGCAAAGCAAGACTAGCTAGCAGTGGAAAGAGTTAAAAGAGTTACTTCTGTCTGGTCGTGACTACTTAAGTTCATCGTGTTGAAGATGATTCTTTCTAGGCCTCAGTTTCTCCATCTGTAAAATTAGGTACATTAAAGCTCGAACCCTTCAACCATTCATTTACTCCACAAATGTTGAATGTTTTTTCAACAAATGTGTATTGGGTCCTTACTATGTAGAAGGCCTTATTTTAGGCATTGGAGATACAAATAAATTTTTCTCCCTTTGGAAACCTAATGAAGATATGGACCTTCGTCCCAGAAAAATAAAAGAAGAAAAGGAAACAAAAACCTCATAGATACCCACAGATATTTTACATTCATTTCAAGGAGTTCATGACCTCCCTAGGCTCCATGAACCCCAAATAGAAATGCTAGTCCATTTAGTCTCGAAGACCTACAGTTTAGAATATTAAGGTTTGAAACTTAGATTGCATCATCATATCTTGATTTCTAGCTGCTCCTCACTCCCCTGCCCCTTGACCCCCCACCAGTAGCATTCTATTGCATGCATTTTGGTCCCTCCTTTTTAGAGAGCAAATATTTGGAACTTAGCAAATGGGGAAAATAAATGTCGAACAGAAAATGAGTAACTGAAAGGCGAAGCAGGCGTGGAGCTGGGGGACAGAAGCAGATGAGAGGTTTCAATGACCAAGCCTAGCCTGGTGCTGCAGAATTTTGAAGAGATGATTTATCTTTTAGGCTAAGTGCTCTTGGCAAAGTCTGGTGACTCTGTGGAGGGAAGAGAGGTTTGTGTTGGAGCCGCGCAGTGTGAGGTCTCAATGTCAGGGCTTGTAGCAAAGTCAGATTTCCTCTCGTGCTTTGGGGCACCAGGGGAAACCACAGCTGGACAGGCAGGGGTACCTTGAGAAGGCATGGAACAGTCCACTTGTTTGATTGCTAGTTTTGGTAGACTGGTCCAATGGGGTTGGCCCCATTGGGGTGGTAGGCTGCTTCTACAGAGCACCGCAAAGGGGCTGGCTTTATGGTAAGCGATGCTGCTGAGGTCTTCGGTGAAGGAGAAATTGTGAGTCTTCAAGGCCCAACACGGACATGAAGAGGTCAATGTGCAAAGGCTTCTTCCTCTTTCCCAGTCTTGCAGAGCCTCTTTCTTCCCTTCCTGCAGGGCTCTCAGAATTCCTCCTTGCAATGGTGAAGGCCTGAGCTTTATCAGTTAGGGCAAAGGGCATTTACTAGCTGTGGCACTGATCCGGTATGGATGCAAACTTCATTTTCGGCGAGAGGTGGATGCCCACCCAGGTCGCATAGCCAGTGGAAGTCACAGCTGGGAAATGACCCTAGAAGTGAGATGCCCAGAGTAGGATCTGAATTTGCAAAGATTTTGTAGTAGGTTGTGGGAGGACAGGGTGAAGTGTATGAATTTCTACTTCAATGAGAAAGCAGCAGATTGCTGCTGCTGAGGCTGAAGTATAGAAAAATCCATCTAAACACAGACTGGTCCTTTCTGTTTTCTCAATGTCCTCATCTGTAAAATGGGGATAATAATAGCAACCATCGGTTCTGGTGAAGATTAAATGAGATTAGGCTTAAAAAGTGCTTTGTATCTTGTCAGTGCTCTATCAATCTTAGTTGTCATTATTATTACTACTATTGTGATAGGTTTTTTTCCTGTTTGACACATATAGCAATGCCATACGAGGCTCAGATTGTACAATCGGCAGTCATAGGACCAGAGCTGGTCCCTGAGTGACAGACAGAAGGTAATCTTTTCTGGAAGCATCTGTCCATTTGCCCCATAGTCTGCCAGTGGCCAGGATTACCCGGCTGGGAGCAAATCAGAATCACTGATGGGAAAATCTTTTTCTCTACTTTATGCATCCCTACACAAAGATTATCTCTTTGCAGTTTCATTGCCCTGTAATTCTTTCTTTTCGAATTCCTGTTAAAATCTGTTGAATTTAATCACAATTGTTTTTGCAAATCACTCTCTTTATATTTAAAAAAAAAGTTTTTTGAGGGGAGAAAAAGCCATTCATTTAGGGTACTTGCCATTTCCTTTTGACTTTCAGCGTATGTCCCATCCTAAATTCTCAGAGCTTACGTGACTCCCTCCAAGGGCAAGGGCAAGGCAAAATAGGAGGGCAAGAGGAGACAACGCTATTTGCTGTCATCAATGATATTTTGTCTTTCCTTTTCATACCTACGGGTTGGGGCAAAAGTAGGTCTACGATTGTGAGTACAGGAAACAGTTTATTCTCATATTATTATGTATTCATTATTGTATTATTTTCCATACAAACAACTGTAAACCTACTTTTGCCCCACCCTGTATTTTATCTTCCTTCTTTCCTTCTTCCAACTTCACTTTTCACAGTCTTTTAAATTATTTTGGCTTCTCTTCCACCCTCCACCCCACAAAAAACCCCAATCTTCATTCTCCTCCCTTTGATCCAC